GTCTACCAATTTTGCCATCAATCAATGCCCTTTAACTGTTTCACTTAAATGGCTCTCCCCCCTTCCCCCTATCTCTCTCTCCCTCCCTCTCTCCTTCCCTCCCTCCCTCCCTCCCTCTCTTTCTCTGTCTCATTTCTCTCCCTCTCTTCTCTCCCTCTTCCCTCTCTCTCCCTTGTCTCTCTCTTCCCCTCTCTCTCTTTCCTCTCCACCCCCTGCCACTGCTGGTCTGTAAAACAAAGAACTCTGTGTACAGAAACCCCCAGGCCCTCTCCAGCTCTGCCATACATGGATTCTAATTTCATTCTTACTAATTAGGAATGAGAGACCATTTAGATTCAGCACCTAGCATCCTTGGTGTGTGAACAATGGGAAATAACTCCTACTTATGACTTCCCGGAAGACCCCATGAACGAGGGGAAGCGCAAGAATCAATGGCTGCTCTCCTGCGGCCTCCCCTGCTGCCGGCGTCCATATTCATTCTCGTGTTTTAAATTTTCATGTTGATGTTTATGGGCTACCATTAGGTGATGCGATCCCTCCCGAAGGTTGGTTTTTCATTAACTTAACTCATTTTACTTATTAGCTGGAGTTTAATAAACAGGCCGTGCACAGTCATACCACAGTCTTTCTCTTTAATAATATTTTAAGATCAGGCTTCTCTGAGTCATCGTGGTTTATTTGCTTGTAACTTGCTTCTCCTGGGATGCGAGGCCTGCTGAGCCCCAGAGAGGCCAGCTCTCGCTGCCTGTTTGACCTTGAGCATCAGTGTCTTCCCTTGAAACATGCTGGCCCTTGAAGCATGCTGGGAATAAAATTAAGACCACACCGGCCAGCACTCAGCATCTGTCACTGGGCACCCAGCCCTCGCTGGCCATATTCAGAGAGCTCTGTTGAACTCTATAGTCCTATGAGGTGGTTTAGTTTTTAATTTGAGGGGCAGGGTGGGAAACTGAGGCCCAGAGAAGTGAAATAACTTCCTCGAGGCTACACAGTTGGTGGCAGTGACACACTGGGCTATGGGCACCACAGTTCATTGTCTTCCTTCACTCAGGGTCTCTGTTTCATCTTGACTTGCCTTAGGTCCTCCCATGGCTCCTCTCTGTTCCGAGCTTACTAGCCCCACCTTCATCTTCTATCCACCCTTTCGTCCTCCGTTTCCACTTACCTGGCTCTCTGCGGTCTCAGCCTGCCCCTTGCACACTTCTTCAGTGGTTCCCCATTGCCTGTGGCTACAGTTCAGCATCCTCAGCCTGACATCCAAGGACCCACGTCACTGGCCTCTGCCTTCCTCCCTTGCCCGTGTCATCCCAGCTGCCCATCATGGCACACAGCCTTGACTGCCCGCCCACATCTGGGCACTGGCATGCCTTTCTCACCCTTGTCTCTGCCAGTACCCTCCTCTGAGCCTCAGACATGCAGATCTGCCCCTTTCTCTGAGAAACCCTCCTGGTGCCCCTCCCCCCCTCTTCTTAACTCTCCCCTTTCCACACTGGGACTGTCTTCCCCCTTGGGTTATGGGCTCCTTGGAAAGTGAATATAAGCTCTGGAGCCCCCCACCCAGTAGGTGTTCTTGTTCCCCCATGCTATCCAGAAGTACGGAACACTTAGGAAAAGGCTCGGTCCAAATTCCCTCTGCTCCCAGCAGTGTGGTCAGCCTCTCTCCCTCCCTCCTTCCCTCCTTCACCCACCTCATCCATCCGTCCCTTCCACCATCCCTCTGTTGGTTCCACACACTCACCCATGTGCTTCTCCCCCCGCCCTCCCAAGGTTGCTGCCTCCCTTCCTGATCAGCAGCTCAGACATGAGGTACTTTCTTTTCTCCTCTTGCCCAAACCTTGCTGCCACATCTGCTCACATCTCCAGCTGCTGGAAGGGCCACTGGGCTGGTCTCAGTTCTGGTGAGGACTTGAGCAGTGTGCAGGAATGGAAACACGACGTGGAGTGGGGGAGTGTGCCTCGCTGTAGTTACACATGATGTGGAGTGGGGGAGTGTGCCTCGCTATGGTTATACACGACGTGGAGTGGGGGCCGTGTGCCTCGCTGTAGTTATGTCCCTTTCATTTCCATTGTGGCTGGGCTGGACAGGGCCCTGCACACTCACGGGCCTTGCACACGCATGGACCTTGCACACGCACGGGCCTTGCACGCAGGTCTTTACCACTGATGTGTGTCTCCGTGCCAATCCTGTGTTCTATGGAAAGGGAAACTGGCGCTCAGGAGTGAGAGAGGGGTTTCCATAAGAGCATGGTTTTGGTCAAGGCTCACTGGGAACTCTAGACTGTTTCCTTGACCTATGCTGTACTCTGATGGGTACCACAGACTTTCATAGTGTGCCTCCACTCTGCCTCAGACATATGTGTAACACGGAGTTTTCACAGGCTCGGGTAGGTCTTGCCTGCCATGATCACACAGGCAAAAGAGGCAAGGATGAGAATGCAGATTTTGGGCTGGACCCCTCTTTTTCCCCCCCACACCATGAAGTTCCATACATGTGGCAGCAGCTCCGACATACACCAGCCCCCATCTCCAGGACCAGTTTCCCTCAGCAGGACAGGCCACCTATGGGTAGAAATGCTTGACCAAGGACATTGTGAGACTGAGCAGCAACACAGGCCAGGACCTGTGGGGACAGACCTGGATGGCACAGGCTGAGTGGCTGTGCAGTGGCCTGAGGCTGTGACTGTCACACACTGGTGCATTGTTCACTGGGCCATGTCCTCTCCAGCTGGCCCTCCTAGGATCGGGAACTTCACTCTGTGACACAGATGACATGTGCTCCACAGGTCCTGCTCAGACCTGGAACTGCCCACCCCCCCCCCCCCCGCCTCATGTCCTGGTGCACACATGTGTGTGACACCTGTGCTACTCTAGTTGCGGTCTGTTTTCAGCACACTTGATAGCACCATCACACAGTGACCAAATCATGAGACCACACACAACGTGTCTGCTGATTTGATCTCTCTGAGCCTCAGTTTCTTATCCCCAAAGTGGGGGTGACAATGCCATGAAGATTAAATGAGAGGCGTGTGGCAGGCGGAACACTGGACTTTCCCATCTGTGTAGCATGGGCCTCTGCCCCGCCCCAAGAGCCTGCAGAAGCAGATAGAAGGTGCAAGTTGCCTTTCGTGGGTGGGAAAATCAAGGTACCTGCAGGCAAGGCAGGGACTCATGCCACTTAGTACAACCTTGGGACCAGAACCTTGATTCCTCACTGCCCATCCCTGGAGGACTTACCACCACCACCTCTCTCTTAGAGGAAGACCCCACCCCACCCCAGGTCACCTCCTTGTCCATAATTTATACCTCAGATGACTTGAGGGGTATGTGAGAGGTAGGCAAGGGCCCCCAAAATAAGCCTCTTTGAGTGTGCTGGACAGAGGAATGCTGGGAAGAGACGTCATAGATACTGAGAGACAGACTCAGTGGCTGAAGTGGGGACAGAGAGAGTGGAGCGCCATTAGGAGCCATGGCTTACCCTGTTCCAGAGACAGTCTTCCCGGTTCCTCTCTCTTGCAGCTGTTTGCCCCTTTATAATGTTCTTTTGAACAACCTGGGACTGTTCACGGGCCTGCTAAGCCCTCCCTGTTCTCAGCTCTGGTTGCCTCTGGTCCAGCATTGGCACTCACCAACTTGTGGAGTGCTAATGACATTTGCATTTTTCTGGCTGGCAAAAGATGGTACTTGGTAACTACAGTAGGGGACATCACTGGCAGATGGGGGATTGGTAGCCCAGAGCGAGGGCCAGGCAGGCCAGGTGGAGGCCGAGATGATGGGCTGTGAGGGGGAGGAGTCACTGGAGGAGTTTAGAGTTGCTGTGTGTCTAAACATTTGCCAGGACACCAGGCAAGTGTGTGCTCCACCTCCCTCATATATGTCTCTCTCTCTCTCTCTCTCTCTCTCTCTCTCTCTCTCTCTCTCTCTCTTTCTCTCTCCTCGCGTGTGCGCTCTCTCTCTCCCTTTCTCTCACTCACACACACAAACACACTCGCTCTGTCACCTGCCTACACTTACTGAGCAATTGCCCTATGTCAAATGTTCTTCTATGGTCTTCTTCATCCAGACAGATGAAGCATTTTAACTCCCAGCAAGCTTTGGGGAGCAATCCCATTATCAGCCTTGTTCACAAATGAGGAAACTAATGCTCTGAGAGGACACCTGACTTGTCCAGAGCCCTGGACCGGGGGGGGGGGGCGGGGAGTTATTGTCCAAGCATGTGGCCAAGGTCTACCATCTCCAGTGCTTCTGGCTTCAGGGCACAATTTCCCACACTTTACCTGGACTCAAACATAACCAGGAAGCAATTCTTTGTTGTGATCCGTGACTGGGCAAAAATGGTGACCCACACCCCTGACAGCATATCAGGGAGGCTCCTGCTAAGGCTGGGGACTGCTCTATAGGCTTCAAATCTGACAAGTCCGCAAGAATAGGCATCCCTGGAGCCATGCGTTTGGATAGATCCACGTTTGCTCTGCCAATTTGCTGTGTGGCTCTAGTCGGGTGACTGCCCCTCCCTGGGTATCAGTCTCCTCATTGGTTACAGGAGACCATGGCTCTATCTTGCCTGCATACCACAGATGTGTTTTCACATGAACAAGGACCTTTTCTCCAAGGGACTCAGACACCTAACACTTCCAATCATTCAACCTCTGGACTTAAGTTTTGCATCTAAGTGAACTGGGCACATTCATTAGCCTCCCTTCGGAAGGGCCCTTTGCTCTGTGCAGCTTAGCGGCAGACCTATGTGTATTACTCTGGCACTGTGGGATGCATACACCTGTGTGCCATGTGCACATACCTTTGTGCTTCTGAACTGTTCCCTCAGAACTTCAGCTGGGTCCTGGTGGCAGGTCCCCCAGTGCAGAGCCCTGGCTTCAGCAGGCTGTTTGTTCTGCCTCCTGGAAACCAAGGGCATTGCAAACCACACTGGAAGGGGCGGCCTGGAGCGCTGGAAGGTGATGACATCAACCTGGCCAGATAGTCAAGACTCTTCTGCTTCCCAGACAGGTAGACAGCTGCTGGACAGCCTGCATTCTGCAGAAGCCGGCCCTCCCGATACTGCAGGTGAAGCCCTTGGTGTGCAATCTAAACACAGACACAGGCTTTCCAGCTCGGCTGACCAGGTAAGGGTGTTCTGGCTTGCTCTTTTTGTCACAGAGGCCATCAACAGGGTACCTTGTCCTCCACCATAGCCCTCATGATCCCATTGGTTAGCACAAGGACTCAATGATGAAAAAACATCTACAAGAGCAGACTTCCCGCTGAGCAGGTGGCAGCAGCTTCCTCCTTCTGCTTCCCTAATGGTCACCCTGCTGTTTGAGCCCCCAGGGCTTGGATCGTACTCCATTCCATGGGAAGGGCTCCCCATCCCTTCTTGAAGGAGGAACTTGCTTTAGCCTCGGAAAGCCCAGGTCTAGGAAGACCCAGGTCCTCTCTGGAGGACCAAACAAGCCTGGCTTCTTTGAGGCTCCTCAAGGAGATTGGGGGTGATGGGAGTATCTATCACTATTCAGGTTCCCCAGAGGAACGGGCCAGCCTGGGAGTACCCACCTGGGAACCTGAAAACAACAGCTATACCCCATCTTTAGGGTGTGATGTAAGGTTTCATGTGGAAATAAAAGTTTGAAATGCACAGTTTAGCACACTGCTGCCATGCAGCTGCAGCCAAGAGTTAAAGGTTAAAGGTCCGCCCTGTCCCTGGTGCTGGCCAACCGCAAACCTACAAACCTGTAGGCTCTCCACCAGCTTGGAAAGTTCTTCCTCCTCCCCAGCTCTGACTCACCACACAGACCTGCCCTTATATGGTGTGCCTAGCTCCTCATGATCAAAGCCTGCTCACCCTGATCCAGTCTCCGGGTCTGGAGTAGCCGCTATGTGCTGTATTGTTAGACACTAGGAACCGAGCAGGACACAAGAACCAGCTCAGGCTCCCTATCCTGTTCTCCAGGAGCTCTTCTGAGGGCAGGATCCTCTTCTGGGATTTTATTCTCCACCACTCTTAAGGGTCTCCCTCCGTGCTCAACCCTGGTCAGACATGGGGAATGTTTGCAGGCTCTATTCGTTCCAACCATTTTTCAAAAAGCCCCTTCACATGGGTCTGACAATCATACAATGACTTGGTCCTTGCCCTCCAAGTCTCAAAGTTCCGTACTCCCTCAGGGAGAAGGACCCTACTAAAGATCTCTGTACAGACCTTTCAGGGTCCAAGTCATTCTGCAACACAACAGCAGGAGCTTCTGGTACCAATACTCCAAGCTCAGGGACTCCCAGCCCACTCTGCAGGAGACTCTGGGACTCCAAGCCAAAGGGAGAAGATGCTTCTTGGCTGCATAGTAAATCAGGGCCTCAGTGTCTAAGAACTGGGTTTGAAAACTGGCTGCGTCACTGGACAGGAGAAGATATGGGGATGGCATGCAGAAGGCAAGAGTAGAAGCTAGAGAGCGTGAGTCCTCAGAGGGCAGCCTGGTGTATCCTGGGGCTGGCTGGAGCCCTGGGGTGGAGTTTTGTAAAGCTTCCTGGGCTGGGGTCACTGGTCCCTCTCTCAGTCCCTCTCTTGCTCCCGGGAAAATATGTGGGAGGCTTTCTGACTTTATTCCCTAGCTGCTTGCAGGATTTCTGTGGCTTGTTCTGGTGGGCTATTTCTTGTCTTCTACAGCAAGTTCTCACTGTCTAGTCCAGGTCAGCCTCAAAATCACCATCCCCCTGCCTCTGCATTCCTAGTGCTTGGACTTCAGAAATGCACCACTGCAAGTGTCACGGCAGACCTTGTGTTAGATGCTGACTAAGTTTACTTTGTTGAGGTAAGAGCCTACGATGTACCCCGTCCTCTTACCTGTAGCTCCCAAGTGCTGGGATTGCAGGGTGCGCTGCCATGTCTAGCCGCTACATTCTTCCCAGTTTTTATAGCCTCCCTGTCCTCCAGTTTGTCATCTGTGAAGTGAGAACAAGACCCCTCCCAGTTTTAACCATGTTGTCCCCAATCATCTCCCAGTCACACACTTTTCCCAGTGTTCCTCCAAGGGTCTCCTTCCATGTCAGGAAGCACACACAATAACTCACTTCTTCCAGAGCTCAGGTGCAGATCAGTCATGCCTCCAGAGTGCCTTGGTGAGGCATGCCAGTGCCATTGGTATTTAGATTCCAACTTACATTTCAGTTGTGTGTGTTGTGTGCGCACATGTGCACGCACATGCGTGTATGTATGCATGCATGTTCACTGGTGCACATGTGGAGGTCAGAGGACAGCCTTCGTGAGTCAGTTCTCTTCCTCCACCATGTAGGTACTAGGAATTGCAGGGAGTCCTCAGGTTTCATGGTGTGGTGGGTTGTTAGCTTTGTTTTGTGGTGGGGTGGGTTGAAAGAGAATGTCTCCCGTAGCATCTTGGTTCCCTGGTGGAGCTGTTGGGGAGGTGAAGGGAACGTGGTCCTCCTGGAGGAAGTGTGTCACTGGAGGTGGTATTTGATGTTTCAAAGCCTTGCACCATTCCCAGTTTGCTCTCTGCTTGCAGTTTAAGATGTGAGCTCTCAGCTGCTACCCCAGCTGCTACATCTGCCTGCAGCTGCACCTCCCCACTGTGATGGTGTGGACTCTTGTCCCTCTGGAACTATAAACTCATGGAAACCCTCTCCTATAAATTGCCAGTTGTGTTTTAACACAGCAATAGAAAAGTAACCAAGATAAGTGGCAATCACCCTTATCTGGTCAAACATCTTGCCAGCCCTTGGAGTCCAACTCCCAAGCATCTGAGGCGGGGTTTGGAGCATAGATCATTCATCCAGGCACCCAAATCCTGGTGATGAGCTGGGAGTGATACCACTGATTCCAGATGGGGTACAGATTTCTTCTCCCTATCACATTAATTCCTTTATTCATGAGTCCTTAGCATATGCATGAGTCCTGAGAGTCACATACTGTCCCCTTGTAGAGGACAACATACATCCTGCTCACAGGACTCTGGATCTGCAGACTAAAATTTTGGGCATGATCCCACTCTTGCCCTAATGGCTCCTGCAACTTTCATTAACACCTTCTTGCCTTCCTAGGCTGAAGTCTGAGTGAAAAACTGTTATCCCTAGACCGAAGTGTGGGCTGAACTATCAAGTCCCAGCTCTGCTCTCTGCAGGTGGAAAGTTCCAGGGAGGCAGCAGGGTCTGCTCATAGGAAGAAATGGTGGAATGGCACTTGGTTCTCACTACTTGGATCCTGATTTGCAAGCGGTTGGGATATTTGTAGACAGCACAAATGTTAGAAGTTGTAGAGGGTCATTCCTGGCCAGCATCCTCCTCGCCTCTTCTTACAGGCCGTGGGCATCTCCCCTCCCTATCTCCAGCAGTGTGCAGAGCCTGGTGTATGCAGTATCTGAGGTCGGTGAATGGGTGGGACCAATGGACAGATCGCAGTGGCTGTCAGCAATCTAGTCTTCCAGTGTCAGGTTGTGTCCCCGTGACACTTGGATTTTGCTCCTGGAGAATGTCATTGGTTTTCCAGTAGTGCAGTGGACAAAGAACAAACGGCTTTGAGTTTATCGGTTTCTGCATCAGTGGCAGGCGGCAGCCTGTGGTGTTGGCTGTCAAAACCGAGAATTTAGACCTCGCTTCCAAAGGGAAGGCCTTGAACCGGTTCTCATAGCGTCCGACTACAGAGGCCTGTGGTAAGCTTTAAATTAAACCCTGTGCGCAAGCCACCTCACCACACTCGGGATGTGGGATAAAGGCTTGGGAAGTGTGCTTGGAAGCTGTGTTTATGGCCCTACTTAAACTGCCATTGCATAAAACACTCTTTTCCCAAAGAGTTCAGCTCAGTGCTTTGTATTTTAAGACACGATACTTTGTGAAAGCTATCAGGAGAAACTGAAGAGATGGCTCAGTGGTTAAGAGCACTTGCTGCTCTTGAGAGGACCAGGTTAGGTACCACAGCCATCTGTGACTCCAGTTCTAGGGAATCCGATATCCTCTTCTGGCCTCCACAGGCACTCCACAAACGTGGAGCACATACTCATGCATACCCACATACATATAAATGGATGTGCCTCTTTTAAAAGTCATAAAGAGGATAATACATGTTATTTAAGAATTCCTAAGAAGAGCCAAGCATGGTGGCTCACACTTGTAATCCCAGAACCCAGAAGTCTGAGGCAGGCAGATTTCTGTGAGTTTAAGGCCAACCTGTACTACACAGGACAGTCAGAGCTCCATAATAGAGAGACCCTCTCTCAAAACATGCAAAATAATAGAAAGAAACCCATAGATGGTTGGAGCGATAGCTTAGTTGGTAAAGTGTTCACCGTGTGTATGAATGAGGACCTAAGTTCTACTCCCAGACCCCATGTAAAAAGGCCAGGCACAGTGACATGTTTATAATCCCAGCACTTAGAGAAGCTGAGACAGGAGGACCCCTGGGGTTCTGTGGCCAGCCAGGATAGCCCACTCGGCAAGCTCCAGGCCAATGAGAGACCTGTGTCCAAAAAAAGTAGGCTGTGCCTGAGGAATGGCATATGAGGTTGACCTTTGACCTCCGCATGTATGCACACATGTGCCTGCATTCTGGCTCACACATGTCTCCGTGGTTTCTCTTGTTAAGAACAGGAACAGGAGCACAGTCAAGAGCAGACAGCCAGCCAGCGACTGGACTTGGTGTCCAGACCATACGCCTTAAGAGTGTTCAGTGCAGAGTGGTCCCACGGGAGTGGGGCAGCCCAACTTCCTTGTACCTTCAGGCTCTTACTCGAGGTCCTCTGAGGTCTTAGAGACCCAGGGAGACCAGAGTTTAAGCCCAGCCACGTGCAGCCCAGGCTGGGAGAGCCAAGTCGGCAGATGTGGAGATGTGGCCACATGCTGTGGCCCTCTCTCCTGTCACGTGTCCCAGGGCTTGACATGGCCCAGCTCCCTGCAACCTGGCAGGGGAGCTGCTCTCCACCTGTGGGAGTCTGTGCTGTCACTCAGGGTCCCTCGCTGCTGTCCTGGGGAAGCCACTCAGGTTGAGAGAACACAGTTTGAGGCCCCCATGTTGGCGCTGAAGGGACACACAGAGCATTGAACTTGACCCTGGCACTGCCAAGCGAGTGATGCTATCCGCCATTTTCTAAGTGTTGGACTGAAGGAGGGAGTTGGGGAATGGAGAGCA